TTTTGAGATGGAATTTTGCTCTTGTTGCCCAGGCTGGAGTGCAATGGCGTGATCTCAGCTCACCACAACATCCACCTCCCGGGTTCAAGTGATTCTTCTGCCTCAGCCTTCCAGGTAGCTGGGATACAGGCATGTGCCACAACACTTGGCTAATTTTGTATTTTTGGTAGAGATGGGGTTTCTCCATGTTGGTTAGGCTGGTCTTGAAGTCTTGACCTCAGGTAATCTACTGTGCCTGGCCTACCTACCTCCCTTTTTAAAAAATTCTGAAATGGCTTATAGATTTCAGATTAATTATGCTAGCTATGTTTTTGATTTTACTGGTGGCGTCCATTTCAGTTATTCATCTGCCTTACTAAAGCATACTTTTTGGAAATACATTAAAAATTATTCTTCAAAATGAAAATCTCTACTCTAGGTTTATATTTGAATACAGGCAGTGAAGACGGGCATGTGAAAATTAAGGATGGATGGAAAGGGAGTGGGAAAAAGAAACTCATTTCTTTTACACGTATTAGAATTTGTGTATCTATAAATAATATATTCTTTATATACCTAAAAAGTAAAATTTTTTTCAAAGAGATCAGTTCTTCAATAGAGAAGTCTGGTCTCTAGGTTTATGCATAAAGGAGATAGGTGAAGATTAGGGATGGATGGAAAGGAGGTAGGAAAAGAAAAATATTCTTCATATTCTTCACATGTACTAGAGTTCAGTTTTCCATAGATAATACACCCTTAATCTAAAAAATAAAATATTTTTTCAAGGTAAAATAGAAAATTTAGCTTTGTCTTCTAAAAGTATTAAACTTTCAGTGTGTTCTCTCATATGTAGATACACACACATACACACATACATACATATATATATATATATATATGTATTTTTTTTTTTTTTACAAATTATTTGTAGAGACAGGGTCACACTATATTGCCCAGGCTGTCTTGAACTTCTGGCCTCAAGCAGTCATCCCGCTTTGGCTTCCCAAATCACTGAGATTATTGGTGTAAGCCACTGCTCTTGGCCTGTTTTCATATTTTCTGATAGCAATATATGATAAGTAAAGTAGTAAAAATAACAGAAAGCCTTTGCTTGAGTAGGAATTAAGAAACTATTTTTGCCGAAGAAAGTTACACAGTAGGGCTGATTGCGTCTGCTATGAATTTATGGTCATCAACCTCACATAGATCCCCAGTATTGCTTGGCTACCAGACTGTCTTTCTCTGATTAACTCCTCTTCTCTTACTGTAAGCAGATGATCTCTCTTCCTACATCATAAAAAAGAGATAGGGCCAGGTGCTGTGTGGCTCATGTTTGTAATACCACCACTTGGAGCGGCTGAGGTTTGCTTGAACCCAGAGTCCAAGACCAGCCTGTGCAACTTAATGAGACCTCCATCTTTATAAAAAAATTAACAAAACTAGCCAGGTGTGGTGGCACGTCTTTGTAGTCCTAGCTACATGGTAGGTGGGAGGCGAGAACATGGCTTGAGCCCAAGAGGATGAGGTTGTGGTGAGCCATGATTGCACCACTGCACTCCAGCTTTGGCGTTGGAGTGAGAGACCCTGTCTCAAAAATAAAAGGGTGAGCCATTAACCAGAAACTCCCTCCTTTTCTGTATAATAAACATGCAAATCTACCTACACATATACTCATTCTGTTCTTTTTGTTTTTAATCTTGAGGAGTTGTCCGCCTTCCTATCTCATCTTTTCAGGATGCTTAGACTGTTATCTCTATAAACTCAGGTGTATTCAGTCTCTTCACTTCTTATCTTAACCCTTTCCATTGACTTTTTAATTTACTTAAACTTTTAATTTTTATTTTAGATTTACAGAAAAAAATTACAAAAATTATATAGTTTTTCTATACCACGTACCCAGTTACCCATATTATTGACATTTTTTTATTACTTTAATACATTTGTCACAACTAAGGAATCAACATTGGTACACTACTAGTAACAAAACTCCATAATTTATTTCACTTCCTGTCAGTGTTCTTTTTCTGTCCCAAGATCCCCTCCAGGATACCACATTACATTTAGTGATCATAGGTCATGTTAAAAATATTGCCTATTGGATTGGTGAAGTGCTGTTTAGTATTCCTTTATGATTGATAAGAAATAAAATACTCTCTTGGCATGTTTAAATATTAGAATAGTGGGAAAGCCCACATGCAGGTAGTCAGGATTCATCAGAACTTCGTTGCCCTTATGATAATGGTATACCCAGTGGAAGTTTTGTGAGACTAAGTGAATTGACAGCTTCAATTAGAATGAAAGCCATCCCTATATAAAAATTTGATTCATTGTATTCAAATTATAAGTTTATGCATTTTAAGAGTGTATTTCTCCCTAAACAATTAATGTTTGGATTCTTCATCCCTGGCTTTTCCAATATAGACCATATAGACCTTTCTCATTTCTAAGAGCAGGTGAGAAAATACAATCAAGTCGTTACATATCTCAGCAATTAGAAATATAATATGAGATGTGGGAGTGGGAGCGAGGTTCAAAGTCCCACAGAATTTACCTTAGCATGTTATGTACAGGAGTATAGGATTAAGGTGGTATTGTAGTGATGATAATAGCAATTTTTGTAAGACAAAGTGATTAAGTAGCATAGAGATTTCTCTGTCCCTCTGACCACCAAGTCTAAGGGATAAAACACATTTCTGTCAGTAGCGGTGACTTGGTAATTCCCACAGGGAGGGAAATGGGTGTTTCAAAAAGCCTCCATCTTCTTTAACGCACGCACACACACACACACACACACACACACACACTCTCTCTCTCTCTCTCTCTCTCTCTCTCTCTCTCTCTCTCTCTCTCTCTGTCTCTCACTCTCTGTCTCTCTCTCTCTCAAAAATGGCGTCTATGGATCCACTGTACATACAGGAGCTTCCCCCTTTACCCATGGTTTCCCTTTATACAATTTCGGTTACAACAGGTCAAACACAGTTTGAAAATAGGTGAATGTAATACAGTAAGATTATTTTGAGAGTGAGAGATAGAGACTGCATTCACGTAACTTTTATTACAGTGTATTATTATAGTTTATCAGTTGATGTCTTACTCTGCAAAATGTATAAACTAAACATTACCTTAGGAGTATATTAGTATGTATAGGGATTAACATAGTACATAAAGGTTTCATTGCTATCTGCTGTTTCAGGCATCCACTGGTGGTCTTAGAAGTATCCTACCTCTGTGGATAAGGGGGACCTCCTGTCCTTCGTTTGTTTTGACGCTCAACTAGAACAGCATCTCCAGCATGTGATAGAGTAATTATGTTGCTAGATACAAAGTAAACAAAAAAATGCCCCTTAAGGCTTGGTTTTGCTTACAAGTTACACTAAATTCTAGGAAGACGATTATAATTTATTTTATATGTATATAATTATATAAATTTATTAATATCTGTCTAAATACATATATGTATGTATTTAGAATTTTCATGTGCTTATATACTATAAGAGCCATCTGAATAGGAATTTGGTTGGGGCTAGCAAAAAGTGAAGTATTTTCTTGGCACAGTGAAATACCAGAAAACATCTTCATTTATCTGGCAGGCAGCATTAAGTGGGCTTTTGTATCACATGAAAATATAAGCTTTAAGCAGTGATAGTATCATAGTCAATGAGGTTTATGCAAGGCACAGTTATTGCTAATTGAAAATTTTTTCACAAGAACCCCGTCATGACAACTTCAGTATAGTTGGCAGTGGCAATTTTTAACAGTTTCTACAGAGACTGAAACAACACCGTATACATTATAAAGCTTATTGTGCTATCTCTTTAGCTTTTATTTGTTTCTATGAAACTTTTAAACTTTTAACATGTTTTAAAATAACCTAGGATGGAACTTGGTCTAGATTGTGAATTCATGAAAGTGGGAATCGTATCTGTCTTCTCTAGCACCTAACATTGTCCTGGGTAAATGTTGAATAAATGAGCTTTGTCCTCTGTCCTCTGAATAATTTCTGTAGGAGAACACATCAACAAGCTAGTCATTATATCTATTGTTAATCCTGTTGTGTTCAGCAAATAAAAATGCAAGCAAATTTTCTAAAAATTTTATTTAAAGATTCAGTAAGTACTATTTTGATGTAATCATTAAATCCTAAGTTGGAGATTACTAAAATGAGGGGTGTACACTTTTACTTTTTGAGTTAGGAGCTGACAGACAATTCACTAGTGTAACTGTGCCTTTGTCTGAATTTTCTGCCTGCCCGCCTGCATGGGTGGAATTAAGTAGTGTTGTTTTTTTTATAGACTCATTATTCAAATTTAAACTTAACTTCATAATTATGGCATAATATTTGCTTTCCTTTATTAAAAACAAACTTTCAGCGTATTGTAATGTCACTAAATTTTATTCCCTGAAGAGTGACTCTTTGTAATGTTAAATATTTGATGCATACTTTACAGTTTATTCCTTACATAGTTTAGTGGTTGTTTTTTTTTTTTAATTCCTTACATACTTTATATGATACGGTAATCTCTGAAACATTTTTGTCTTTACTACCTAATTTGTAGTTCGTTTACATAGCCTTTAAAGCAAACTTCAACATTTTATCATAGTAACCATTGGGCCCCAGTACATTTGATGTTTTAAGAACATACTGGTATTCATTCATTTAAGATAAAAGGATTAATAAGAAAATTTCTCTACTCCTGAGAAGAAAAAATGCCTAGCTTACAGTCTTATTTCCCATGTGTGTCTTATTGTTATAAATAATGATATTAAAAATTTTTTTTTCAGGAATATTCATTCTTTTGTTCATACTAGTTTGCATTTATTCTCAATGCAGTGTTTTCCCCCCATAAAAGATGGTACAGAATTCAAAATTCACGGAAAAATTACAATAATTCTATATTCATGAATTTAAGTACCTGAATTCCAGAGATAAGTATCAGAATAAATATATTTTATTAGTTTCTGTGATATTGGCAATTAGCCTTTTTTATGAAGTAAATTATTTAAGATGATATATAAATAGGCTATATAAAACATATAAAAATTAAAAGATTATTCAGGATCAGGCTGTCATGTGCCAGATAGTGGGTTATTTGCCATGTTTTTCATACTGAAATTAAAAACTTCACCTGTATTTAAAAAATGTTATCTATTATAGTTTTACTTCTTTATTTTGCATAGTTATTGGTAATAGAAAGTGAAGAACTAATACTGAGTCATATACAAGGATGAATGGTGTATGATGGTTATAAAACTTCATTTTAAAATTTAATGGGTTATGAAAAATATATAGGAAAATGTCATAAAGAGTACAAAAAGAAATCATTTTTCATTCATTCAATAATGCCTGTGACCAAAGTTTTAATTAGTTTAAATTAAGTACTATTGGATGTACAATTTTCCACATGCTTTTAATATATATCATTGTAACAAAAAGATAAAAACAGTTCTTTTGAGGGGGCCTTTGCTACTTTTGGCCATTCAACTTTGAATAATTTATCCCATTGTCTAACATGGTAAGTAATGCAAGCCTAATTACCAAGGATTATTTTAATTTTTTTTCACAATTCCCAGGCAAATTGCATATTTAGACCTCTAGAGTTTAAATCACAGCATTTAATCACCTGGCATAATTTACACACCTTTGAGAACCAAGATTATGTATTAAAAAACCTTTCCTTTCACCGGCTTTTTATTTAAGGGCATTAGCACCATTCTAAGCAAGTGAATCTTTCTTTAGATTGTCATAACCTTTTCCATTATCTACAAAGAGGTGCTAGAAAGCAACTTTAAGAAAATTCTTTTCCCATTCTGTTTTGCTTTTTAAACTATTTCTGCTCTCTCAGTCCCTAGTTTTCAATCTATCTTAAAAAGAAAATTTCCTAAATTTTTGTGTGTTAAGGTTTTTTGTTTCTTCTTCATTTTAAATACTGGGTTTGTATTACATATTTAGGTATATTTCATCTATCCCATTTATCATCTTCATACACAATAGGCAGACAAGCTCAAGGCTTTTAAAGCAAGACTTTTGATAACTCACTTTTATTTTCTCTTGTTATTGTGTGGTTTTTCTTTGAGGGGGGAGTGTAGCCAGAATTAGATTTACATTGCTGCTTCTATGTTTGCCATTTAGTAGGGTATGATTTTTATTTGTCTTTTTCATTATATTTTGATTCGAAAGCCTGAAACAAATAATATTTTATTATTTGCAGGACTTCCTTGGGAATTCAGATTGGTGAGGGAAAATATATAGGAAAATTATTTTGCAATTTCATTAAAAAGAAAACCCCAAGTAGTCATTCTTGATAGGATTCTTTAGTATCTTAAAATGCCTGGGATATCTTAGAATAAAACAAAGTATTTTTCATAACAGAATGTTAACTAATGTGTACAAAGGATGGGTTGACAATTTTGATTATGAACTTTGATATTTTTGAACCTTTGAATGTTCCAACATTCGGTTTATTTTAAAACTTGATAGATATTCAACCATTTGATTTTAGTCAGATTTTTCTATTCTTAATGACTCATTAGAGTAGGAGAGTTTCAGAAGTTGAGGAAGAGATGAGTTGAAACTTTAAGGACGGGCATGGTGGCTCACTCTTGTTGTATGTAATCCTTGCACTTTGGGAGGCCGAGGTGGGCAGATCATGAGGTCGAGAGTTTAAGACCAGCCTAACCAACATGGTGAAACCCCGTCACTATTGAAAACACAAAAAGATTAGCCAGCCATGGTGGTGCATGCCTGTAATCCCAGCTACTCAGGAGGCTGAGGCAGGAAATCACTTGAACCTGGGAGGCAGAGATTGCAGTGAACTGAGATCGTGCCACTCCACTCCAACCTGGGTGACAGAGCAAGACTTTTTTAAAAAAAAAAAAAAAAAAGAAAGAAAGAAACTTTAAGAATAAATGCTAGGCTAGGCTCAGTGGCTCATGCCTGTAATTCCAGCACTTTGGGAGGCCGAGCCAGGTAGATCACCTGAGGTCAGAAGTTTGAGACCAGCCTGGCCAGCATGGTAAAATCTTGTCTAAAAATACAAAAAGTAGCTGGGCATGGTGGTATGTGCCTGTAATCCCAGCTGCTCTACAGATTGAGGCAAGAGAATCAGTTGAACCCCAGAGGTGGAGGTTGCAGTGAGCCAAGATTGTGCCACTGCACTCCAGCCTGGGTGACAGAGTGAGATGCTGTCTCAAAAAACAACAATAACAAAAAACAGAAAAAGACTAAATTTATCATTGTTTACTTTCAGTCAGAAATTGGCTTTGGAAAAATGGAAACCTACATCAAATTGGAAAAGCTTGGAGAGGTAAGTAAATACTATTTCAAAAATGTAACACACATTTTTTTGTTTTTTATTCATCATTCAAACTGTTACTCCACAGTTCTTGTTAACCTGGAAAAAATGTAAATACTGATGTCTACAAGATTATATACTTATTCTGAAAAGGTAACAGAAGTTTCTAGGAGTTAGATTCTTCAGTCCTTGAAATTACCCATCAGTTTGAGAGGAAATGTGTATTTTTTATAGCTTCATAATTTTTTATTGAAGCAGAAAGTATTACGCTTTCTTGATAACAAAGTAGGCATTTGTCACTTAGTCTCCTGGCAGTCTACAGTCTGTTCCTGGCTGTCATGGGAAATTGCATGAGTTCAGATCTGTGAAAAATCAAATATTACCTTAAAGATAAAAACACATTTTTTGAAGGTTAAGGAAATTCTTAAGACCTTGATTTTCTTGGAATTGCTACTAGTACTACTGATTTAAAAATGGCCTACCTCCTATAGTAAGAAAGGGCAAAGAAAATAATAGTTAATAGGGAAGCCGTAAAGGAGCTTGAGGGCTGACCTAGCAATGATAGAAGAAATCATTGTTATTTAAAGGAGAGTTAATGTACAAAGATTCCGAAAAATCTTGGAAACATGGGTAAAATTTTTATGATTGCCGGGCGTGGTGGCTCATGCCTGTAATCCTAGCACTTTGGGAGGCCGAGGCGAGTGGGTCACGAGGTCAGGAGTTCGAGACCAGCCTGGCCAGTGTGGTGAAACCCCATCTGTACCGAAAATATAAAAATGAGCTGGACGTGGTGGTGGGGCCTGTAATCCCAGCTACTTGGGAGACTGAGGCAGGAGGATCACATGAAACCAGAAGACAGAGGTTGCAGTGAGCCAAGATTGTGCCACTGCACTCCAACCTGGGCGAAAGTGAAACCCCATCTCAAAAAAAAAATTTATTTTTGTGATTTAACAGTATGAACATTACATTTTCATTTTTTAATAATGTGTTCAATTAGTGTCCATCAGTCTTCATATACCATTGAGGGTAAAGAACTTTTGATTTTAAAGCTATTGATCTAATTGTCAATCTGAAATAAAGTACAAAAAGTAAATATTCTGTCTATGTTTTTATACTCTTGAGGCACTCTTTAGTTTTACAGAAGTATGGAAGCTGTGCATATGAACTGAAATTCCTGTTTGCTGTAAGAAAAGCCAAGACTGATTATTGTGTGTTTTTCTTTGCAAGATGGAATTTAACAATGCTTAGGAATTAGAAATTTAGGTAGAGCTTTATTGTACAGATAATATTAAATAGACTTTTATACTTTTGATGTGTCGTTTAAAAATATATTTTATAGGGTACATATGCAACAGTGTATAAAGGAAGAAGTAAATTGACAGAGAATTTGGTGGCATTAAAAGAAATCCGATTGGAACATGAAGAAGGTGCACCCTGCACAGCTATAAGAGAAGGTATAATCTTTATACAGAACATTT